TCCACAGGGGCTGTCCAGAGTCAGCCTGCCTGTGACTGGGTCAAGGTAATCGTGGAGTGAGGGTCAGGCATCCCAAAGGGAAGAAAACAATGCTTCTGGAAAAGACCAGCGTTGCAGGCTGATGATTTATAGCTCTGAACTCTCGGCATCAGGCCAGACTCTTTGCAAGCTGCTGCTTGTGGCCCTTCCCAGATGGAAAAACTAAGTATTGCTGAACAGAAGGGAAGAGGAGCCCATGAGAACCTAGGTGCTTTTTTCCATGCTGAGGACAGCGTGCAGGGCCTTCACACTGAGCTCTGTTTCCAAGTGCAAAGGCATCTATTTCGCACGGGTGGCTCCAGCTGCAAAACCTAACGGTCATTCTCTCAGGTGGCAAGTGGCCCAGACAGGTGTCGCAATCCCCCTTTATGGTTCTTAGCTCCCTTCAGAGAGGGTTGGGCGATCCTAGTAGAGCCAGTGTGTTAGAATGCAAGTATTACATGAGTCATTTAAGGAGCAGACGCATGGGCAGGACACCTTCCCGAGATTCAGAGATGATAGAAACACTTCCTTTGTTGGGAAGTCGTTGCATACACACCTGCCAGGGCCTCCTCCCTGGCTACAGCTGGCCTTTCCTGTGACAGAGCTTTCCAGGCCGCCCCCACACTTCGAACAGCCCTTGCTGGGGCCTCGACCTCAGCGCCACCTCATTGCCAAGCTCTACCAGAGTGGAGTGACTCGGTTTACACCTCATTTTGCAAATTGATTTTAACACACTGTGCTCTGGATTCCACTTGCAGAATTTCCACTCATTCGTTCAACACTGATACTTCCTGCTTACTCATGCATTTCAGTGGGGTAGTTTCTTCTACCTAATTGAACACAGTTGCAACACATCCTTTAAAATCCTTGCCCAGGATGGGGATGTAGCTCAGTGGTGCAGAGCCTGCTGGCAAGCATGAGATCCTGAGTTTGATGCTTAGTACCAGTACCCCCCAACAAAAACAGAAACAAAATTCTTACCTGCTAATTTCAACATTTGCATTAACTCAAGATTTTTTGGGGGCCGGGGAGATAGCTCAGTAGAATAAGCACCTGCCTGGTCTTGAGTTCAATCCCTGGTACCGCAAAAAAAAAAAAAAAAAAAAAATTGTTTTTGTTTATTGTCCTTTTTACTTAAGAGTGAATCATACTTTACTGATTCGTTTTTTCCTTGTCAAAAAATTATATATTGGGTTGGGAGGATAGCTCAGTAGATTAAGTGCTTGCCTGGCAAGCTCAGGGTCCTGAGTTAAATCCCCAGTACTGCCAAAAAAAAAAAGAAAAATTATATATTGTATAGCACAATGTTTTGAAAAATGCACACATTGTGGAATATGTCATGCTAATTACTAAAAGCTTGACATGATAGACTTATCATTTCTGGAATGAGAACAAATAAAATCTATTCTCAGTAATTTTCTTACATACGATTCATTGTTAGTAACTACACTTTTTTTTCTGTATTCTTAGGGAAGGGGCTGCAGGGTATTCAGGGTCTCACTACTAGATCAGACTCATAGTGATTCTTTTGTTTGCAGCCTCCCGAGTGCTGGGATTACAGGCACGCGCCACCATGCCTAGTCTTGAACACCCGGCCCCTGCATCTGCTTGCACACTCTTTAATCCTCTGAGCTATTAGGCTGGCCCTACAGTCCTTATGTTGTACAGTAGACCTCTCAAACTTATTCTTCCTAATTGAAATTTTGTACTTTTTTTTTTTTCCTATATCCCCAAACCAAATCTTTTTGTATTTTTTATTTTGAGACAGGATCAGTCAAAGTTACTAAATTGCCCAGCTTGCCCTTGAATTTGTGGTCCTTCTGCCTAGCCTCCTAGAGTTTGAGGATACGCCACCACACCCAGCATAAAGTTTTGTACCTTGGTTCACTGTCTCCCCAACCCCATCCTCCACTGCTCAGAGTGTACCCTTACTAGGTCATCCATGTGAGTGAGGTTAGGCAGTGTTTCACTCTGTGCCTGGTGTATTTCACTCAGCACAGTGCTCTCCAGGCCACCCATGTGCCTGAGCATGGAGTCTCTGCCTGAGGCTGTCAGGGTGCCTCTGAGTCTGCACCACACTGTCCTGACCTGTTCTGCTGGTGGAGGACATGAGGTTGACTCCGTGTCTCTTCAGCCTGTTCTGCTGGTGGAGGACATGAGGTTGACTCCGTGTCTCTTCTGCTGTGAATATCGGCATGCAACAAGAACACGAATGCAGGCATGCAAGTATCTCCTGGACACAGACTTCATTTTCTTTGGATATGTCCACAGTAGTGGCATTGCTGAGTTGTAGTAGTTCTGTTCCTTTAATTTTTTTCTTCTCTTCTGTACTTTAGGGAAGCTGTTCAGGGTCTCACTACTAGATTAGACTTGTGGTGATTCTCCTGTTTACAGCCTCCCAAGTGGTGGAATTAGAGGCAGGCACCACCACACCCAGTCTCAATCCAGTCTCAACATGCCCTGGTGGTGGGGCCGCCACAGCAGGCCCAGGGATTGAACCCCTGGCCCCTGTGCCTGCTTGCAGGCGCTTTAATCTGCTGAGCTTTTTGGCTGGCCTATTCCTTTAATTTTTGAGACACCTTCATACTGGGTTTTTGTCCCATACTGTCATTCAAATAGTTGTATGATTTACATTCCAACCCACAGTGCAGTTATTTGCTTTGGTTCCCTTCCTGACCGATGCCACCTTCATGTCCTCCTAATAACCATTCAGATGATTATAAGGTGCATGTGGGGGTCTCACTGCAGTTTATTGTACACATCCTTGATGGCTGGTACCATTAAACATTATTTCACACACCCGTGGGCCCTGTCTATGTTATCTTTTGAGAAATGTCTATTTAGTTCCTTTTCCCATTTTGAAACTAGGTTATTCTCTTGCTGCTGAGTGCCTTGAGACCCTTGTATGTTTTACTTATTAAATTTATCTATTTGATATGAGAAATATAGGGCCAGCAAGATAGCTCAGTGGTCTAAAGCGCCTGCTTAGGCAAGCTTAGGCAGGTGCAAGGGACCATGGTTTGATCCCCACCACTACGTGCCATGCCAGCCCCGCTGTGCTACAGCAGCTCACAGAATCCAAGAAACACTTCACTTTCGTTCCCAGTTGTCTACAGGGAGTCTCAAAGGTACAGGTGAACAGCAGGCCGGGAGATGCGAAGGCCAAGGAGAGTCGTGGTGCACCCTGTCCTTTCCCTCTGATCTCTCCTTGGTCTTCTTCCCTGTGAGCAGTGCCCATTCTGGAGCTGGAGAGACCACTAACCCCCAGTTAGCTCCTGAGCATACAGGAGAAATTCCTTTCATTCGCGCTAGAGATTCTAAGAATTTTATTTAGAAGCTATATGCCAGAAAATGAGAACATGGACAAAATATGTTTTTCACAGTACAATAGATGCCAAAAGTCACTGGAAACCAGAATCTAGGGTCATCCTTTCCTCTAGGATTTGGCCCTCCTCTCCTCAGCCCTCCCTTTTTTCCAGCATGAGATCCTCAGTGTTTCTAGGTCACGGATGGATGGATGGCTGTCCCTGTCCACAGAGATGACTGAATCAGGTACCAAGAGCAGAACCTTTTCTTTTGTAGTGTTATACCTTTGCTTGTAAGTTGTCCTTGCAGGAAGGGCTCTGTTCCTGAAAAACCCAATAGTTCTAAAATCCATTATTGGGCTGGTGAGATGGCTCAGTGGTCTAAAGCACCTACTTAGAACAAGCTTAGCAAAGCACAGGGACCGCGGCTCAATCCCCCAGCACCACTTGCCAGCCCGCCCCGCCCCCTGGTGGGCTGAGCTGGCCACACACACACACACACACACACACACACACACACAAATAAATAAATAAAATTTAAAAAAAAAAATCCATTATTACTGTCTGGTTTCCAGCCAAGTCTTAAAATCCTCTGGCAACATTCTGAGACCTGCATGTGTGTCCAGACTTTGTTGGGAACATTCCGAATAGTGGATCCCTTCTTTTACCTAAGTGGCCTTTTTTTCTTGTCTCAACTTCCCAAGACCGGACAGAGACTTGTCCCCTTCTGTTCCCTCAGTGGCAGGATTTTACCAGAATGCCTCAGAAACAAAAGCTGATTGAATTCCTGCTGTTAAGTGTGTTGCTTTTTATCTGAGGAATCTTTCAAATGAATTGTTTTTCTGATGGAAGGAGATAATAAAAGGAAGTACGTAACTGACCCCTTATTTTGACATCTGATTGATACTGACAGAGCCTGGTTGGGCCACTGTGAGCCTCGAGATGTGCCAAGGTGCATTTGTTCTAGAGCAAGCCAGGGCGCTCAGCGCGGCATGTGTGGCCCAGCACGTGCCTTCCTCCGGAATCGGGCAGCAAGGAGACTGAGGTGCCTTGCAATTCTGTCTGGGGTGACCACAGGTGCTGGTTCTACTCAGATATGCAGGTTTGGAACATGGCACTCTCAGCTTACAGAGTACAGATGGAAGAGGAAGACTGACAGGGAAAGGCGCAAGGATCCAGAGCCTCAGGTCATACTTGAAGGTGCCTTGTTCTCCAGAGCCTGCCTTTAAGAGCTACTTTCTGCATGGATTTTCCTATCAGGAAGGATGGATTTAACCGGGGGGTGGGGGGGGGGTACAAATTAACTGGCAGAAGTGTATGTATAGAGAGAGGGGGTAGAGAGCTCTGGAGTGTATTTGTGTGCACAGACAGAGGGTGGGACGGAAGAAGGAAGCTCTTCATCCCTCTCGCCATTGCCTGAGGACCGCTGGGCAGACCTCTGAAAGTGTACTGTTCACCTTCGTCCCTTAGAGGAGCAAGCTTAAGGCGTCTGCTTGCATCAGAACAAAGCTGCAGGTCTTGAGGGAGCTCGCCCTCCGCGGTCCAGCCAAGCGCGATCTGGGTGTCACCCACAGTTCCCCTCTGAAGAAAGTGAGAAATGAGCCAAAGTAAAATGCACTTAGTGTCTCTTTGGGCCTTTTCATTCATTCCTTTGTTTAAACTTCAATTTTCCAGAGTCCAGAGCCACAAATCCCACCGTCAAACCACGGTCGTTCGTTCTCAGGAATGCCAATGAGGTATTCGAGCAGTTCCCTATGGAGGATGAGGGGGAGAGAAACGAAAGCACGTGGACGGAAACCGGGAACGTGTCCTCCGACTGGAGCAGCCCCCTCCGGAAGCTGCCCCCTGCCTTCATCTCGGACGCCGCCGCGGGCTACCTGACCGGGCCCTGGCTGACGCGCGTGGTGCCCGCCGTCTACACCATCGTGGTGCTCGTGAGCCTCCCGCTGAACCTCCTGGCCATCGCCGTGTTCATCCTGAGGATGAAGGTGAAGAAGCCGGCGGTGGTCTACATGTTGCACCTGGCCACGGCCGACGTGCTTTTCGTGTCCGTGCTGCCCTTTAAGATCAGTTATTACTTTTCTGGCAGCGACTGGAAGTTCGGCTCCGAGATGTGTCGCTTCACCACGGCGGCCTTTTACTGTAACATGTACGCGTCCATCATGCTCATGACGGCCATCAGTGTGGACCGCTTCCTGGCCGTGGTGTACCCGATCCAGGCCCTGTCCTGGCGCACCCTGGGGAGGGCCTCCCTCACCAGCCTGGCCATCTGGGCTCTGGCCATCGCCGGCGTGCTGCCGCTGCTCCTCAGAGAACAGACCGCCCAGGTCCCGGGGCTCAACATCACCACCTGCCACGACGTACTCAACGAGACGCTGCTCGAGGGCTTTTACGCCTACTACTTCTCAGCCTTCTCTGCCATCTTCTTTTTCGTGCCTCTGGTCATCTCCTCCGTTTGCTACGTGTCCATCATCCGATGTCTCAGCTCTTCCACTGTCGCCAGCCAGAGCAACAAGTCTCGAGCTGTGTTCCTGTCGGCAGCCGTCTTCTGCGTCTTCCTCATCTGCTTTGGGCCCACGAACGTCCTTCTGATCATGCATTACCTGTTCCTGTCCCACAGCCGGGCCACCGAGGCTGCCTACTTCGCTTACCTCCTCTGTGTCTGCATCAGCAGCGTGAGCTGTTGCATCGACCCCCTGATCTACTATTACGCCTCCTCCGAGTGCCAGCGCCACCTCTACGGTATCCTGTGTTGCAAAGAAAATGTGGATCCCAACAGCTACAACAGCAGCGGGCAGTTGATGGCAAGTAAAATGGACACCAGCTCGACCAACATGAATAATAGTATCTACAAAAAGCTGTTAGCTTAGCACAAGTGACTGCTGGTCAGGTCAAAAGAAAGGTGAAAAAAGTGAAAAGCTCAGGAATTCTGTTAGTCCCTGGCAAAAGGACTTCACCTAAAATAACAAATGTATGATTTGCATGCCTGCTTAGGAGAGCATAAATATTGGTTAATGACCAGAAGTAACAGGAATGGAAGATAGTGTTATTCCAAGGGAGTAATACCAATGCTACAATAATGAATGTCACTCTCATGTGTGTGTGTGTGTGTATGTGTGTGTATGTACACATATATATGACTTACACATATGTGTATGCACACACAGGTATCATGGGCAGCACAGTATGGATTAGGCACTTTGAAGCCCTCTCTTTTGCTCCCAGTAATTATAGAAAAGTCTTGGACTCCCTGCTGTTATCTGCAGAGTCCAGGCAGGTGAACATCCGAAGATGTCCACCAGTAGTGACAGTAGTGGTTTGGATTTACACGCAAATGGCATACATGTAGACATCACTTATTTTGCACGTAAGTGTATTTTAAAATTGTCTGACAGCATTGTTTAACTGATGAGAAGATGAGATTTGGTGGTGTGTAGAAAAAGTGCTGGTGTTTTTCATTTTAAATCTATCCAAGCTTAAATTTTTTGAAGTTGTCAAAACAGATGAAAAGCGTATTTGCTCTGGTCGACCAGCAGTCTGACGTTTTTTCATTCTGCATACACAAACCAAGACCAAGCACGACCTCCCACGTGACCCCAGACGGCCTTCCGGAGCAGCGCACCGGGGAGCTGACCCTGCTGGACAGAGGACTCCAGGCAGCGGGCCCGGCAGAGCCACACACTGGCCAGCAGCCATCCTGCTCAGCCTTCTGGGAACCGGCAAGACCAAGACCACCAAGCTCAAGCCATCATCCAGGCTTCCCACCACAACTGTGAGCTGAGCGTGTCAGAAACCTCCAGAGCATGGCTGGTGAGATAGCTCAGTGGTATAAGCGCCTGACTGGCAAGCACAAGGTCCCGGGTTCAATCCCCAGTCCTGTTAAAAAAAGAAACCTCCAGAGCAGCGTGGGACGTCCTGCAGGCAACAGTTGTGACAGCCTGCTCTGCCCACCTTGGGAGCAGGAGCACGTCTGCAACACCCCAAGTGGGACTAAACCCCACCCTCAGGAGAGCACTGGCCAGGACAGGGACAGCATGTGATGCATTGTCATAAACACGAGGGAGGTGACGCTTTAAGCCAGATGCTACCCAGAATTCATGTCAGCAAGCTTGTCTGCTGCAGAGCTTGGAACACAGGTTTCTGCTTCCTGTGGTTATAACTTAAGATAGAAACACAACAGAGGATGTGTATTTTAAAAAAATAAGTCCTTCGGTCTATGTCAGCTGGACAGTATTTATTTATAAATGTTTTGTTCAATTAATTACTCAAGTTTTCTTTTAAGACTCAGTTATGTCAGACTGGTTAGAAATAACAAGTGAAAATGGATTTGTCATTGAAATAAAGGAAAATCATTCTGTATTTTTCACTTTCCTTAAAAGTTACTGAAATAATTTTTAAAGCATTTTTTTTATCCCCATGATAAATACCAAGCATAGAAAATCTCCATAGGTTTAGCAAAGTGATTTGAACATTAGGTTGAGGGGCCAGGGAGATGGCTCAGTGGAATAAGTGCTTCCCTAGCAAGCACAAGGGTCTGAGTTCAATCCCTAGTTCCACCAAAAAAAAAAAATAATAATAATAATAATAATAATTAAATAAATAAAATACAAAAAAGAACATTAGGTTGAAAAAAAAGGAAATTAGGTTGAAATTTTCCAGATTAAAAAGTGGTGACATTTTAAGCAAAAGTGGGAAAGTTGCAAGGTAAATGTTTATCTATTTAAAAAAGCAAAGTATTTCCAAATATCAGAATAATTTACATAAGAGTAATATAACAATTGTAAGTAGAAGCTAGCACTGATTTTATTAACTGAGTTACTATATTTACTGTCATTGTTAATTTAGTCTGTATATAGTAAAATACCTATCATCACAGTACTTATATGATTTCAGTGTTTACGTTCACTTTTTTAAAAACTGTCATGTAACCTATGTTAATAAACATGCAAATGTACCTGGCATCTCTGTGGAATAATTTATAACATTTGCACCCTGGCCAGAGAACACACCTCAGCGTGTAGCTGCAGAGGTGCAGGCTTCGCCCGGGAAACCACAGGGCTGGTGTAGCCACAGGCTGGTCCTTCCTGACCCAGACTGGATGGAGGGCCCTGCAGTCCTTGGCTCTGCCCCCTGGCATGGCTGCCGCCTCCCATTGCCCCTGATTTTAAGGCCAAGCCAGAGGACAAGGAAACACTTCATAAAGGTCTGCTTCCTTAGGCATGAAGAATGAATCTAGTAGAAGCAGTTGAGATTAAAAACATAAGTACAGATTCTGCTACAGGCATTGAATTGTTTGGGTTTTTAGCTCTCTTTAGGAAAATTCAGGTTATAATAAACATATATTCAGATTTCTAACTTGTAAATATCGTGGATGGCGACCACAATTCTTTCCTACTGAGAGAAAAATAATTATAAGAACAGGGAGGAAACCCGTAGATGCCTGCAGTGCCTCCTGTGTGGGGAAGACTGTCCTTTGCCCTCTAGAGCAGGGAGAGTGAAAGCAGATGGCCCTCAGCCTCTGAGAGCTGAAAATCAATGAAAAGTTTTCAGTGAAGTGTCTCCAGACCTAGTAACTAGTGCCTAGCTGTGATCCCAGCCCCCTGGAAGGCTGAGGCAGGCGGATCCAAAGCTTAGTGATTTAGTGAGTCCCTGTCTCAAAAAACAACAACAACAAAAAAAAAAAACAGCAAAAGCAAAAATTGAAGGTTAAGATGTAGCCAAGTACCACCAGAAAGAAAAATAATCTGGACTGATAGTCAATGGAAAATTTATTTTATGGCTGGGAAGATGTTCATCCATCAGTTCAATCCCTGGTACTGCCAAAAAAATAAAAATTAAATAAATAAATAAATAAAGCTCTTTTGGGACCAGGGAGATGGCTCAGTAGAATAAGAGCTTCCCTGGCAAGTGCAAGGGCCTGAGTTCAATCCCTGGTTCCGCCAAAAAAAAAGAAAAAGAAAAATTATTTCAGCTAAGCAAGAATTTTGTTAACAGAAACTTTCAAAGTTTAGCACAAACTTTAAGTTTCTAAGGTCATAGATAAATTACATGAAGTCAGATTTCTGCTTCTGAGTACTAGAAACAGTATCCTTTCTCTAGTCAGAAAATAACCTTTAAACTTTTTTTTTTCAAAATACACTTGAGTTCAAAAGCACATTTAATTTTATTAACACAAAAATGTTTCACTTCTTTCCGTGCCAAGTAAAAAGTAGTGGTTTTAGGGAAATGAAATAAAGCACACAATTGGAAAAATTTAGTCTATATTTCCAAATTTAAGACAAGTAGCCTGAAGGAAGCCTTCTGTTCCAGAGCAAGTGAAAATGTGAAGTAGTGCTGATGACCCAGCCTGGGAAGCTCGGGCCAGGCCTTCTCCAGCATTTTATCTTCACCTGGGAGCCATGATGATAACTGAGGAAAAAAACAGTGCCATCAACTGCCATTTCCTGGAATTACTAGCTGTGCGATCAGGCGTGTCAGATTATTAGATTAAATGTACATGGAAGGGCTGGTGAGATGGCTCAGTGGTGTAAAGCACCTACTTAGAACAAGCTTAGCGAAGCACAGGGACTGCGGTTCAATCCCCCAGTACCACATGCCAGCCAGCCCCGCCCCCTGGTGGGCTGAGCTGGCCACACACACACACACACACACACACACACACATAAATAAAATTTTTTTTTAAATGTACATGGAAACACTCGCAGGACTAAGCTGTGTCTTAGGACAGTGTTTAACTGAGTCACACCTAATGAAGAGGAGCAATGTCACAGTGCAGTGAGTGATTCCCCAAACCCTGAGACCTGTTCAGGACATTTGTGAGTTTCAAACCATCTTGAAACACTAAGATGCTACTTGTCTCTTATAGTCTGATGCTTGCCCAAGTGAAAGGTTGAATTTTCCAGAAACTGCTCAACATGCTGTAGACAGCTAAAATAGATAGAAATATTATAGGCAGTCAGACAGGGCCAGGCCCTCGAGGAGACAATATGGAAGACAAGGTGACTTTGCAACTTTGGAAGAGACAGACACTCCCCGCTGTGGGCCAGACCTCAGGACAAAAGAATAAACAAATGCAGCCACATACTTCCCTAGGGATGGGCATCAAGGACTGATATTCTAAATAGGTATCAATCACCTTGAAAGAGTCACTAACCCAACCCGCAACAGGAAGAGACCCTACCCCATTTTCATGTCTGCTTGCTATGTGATTAGCTTCCTCATTTGGTACTGGATTTAATCAATTTTACCTGATCATTGGTACTTGTAATTTCATTGGTTGACCATAGTTTTGTCCCACTTCATGCCCACCTAAGTGAGTTCTGAAGTTGTCCGCCTTAGACCTGCCTCATCACATGGTTTTACTCTATAAAAATCCCTGGAAGTGACAGCTTCCCAGGGACCACGCACATGGGTCTCCCTTCTGTCCCTCTCTCAGATAGGAACTTTCTTTCCCCCAGTAAATATATTCTTCTCTAAATCTCCATTGTTTGTAAAATTCATTCTTCAGTTTTATAGAACACAAACTCATCCCTGGTACCTGTCAGGTTGGGAGTTTCATTTTTCCCCTATATCACAATGGTAGACTCAAGTCCCCTAGGATTAAGGGTCTAAGGGCTCCCCACCTTAAATAGCCTGGAAAAGATAAAAAGAGAGTTGTAGTCATCCTTGTGTCTCCTCTGCAAGGCTACCCTGCTTTTGAGCCAGTTGATTATGGACTGGAACCTTCACACATTGTGAGCTAAGTAAACCTTTCCCTGTTTAACTTCCAGCATTGGTATTTTGTCTCAGCAATGAGAGAAAAGTAAGGTACCAACACTTCAACCGTTGCCTTGAAAAATTCATAAACACTGAGTCCTTGTGAGAGGGTGCAGGCTGACGCTAACACAATATGGGATGCAACCCATATAATCCATTTCCTTGAGTCCTCAGTAGTTTAAACTATGCTAAGGTAGCCCAGGCCAAAGAAGCTTGAGAATAGTTTTTCTTATCCAAGATGTCCCAACTTTGCCACCATAAGAAGACAGAGAAACTGGTAATAATGATAATGTAAACAGGAGCAAAGGGTTGATTGGTGACCACTGGCCACTTTGTGGCTTTGCTCCTATGCTGAGGGA